GTTATTGAGAAAATGTAATAACCCTGTATAGTAGGTATCATCATTGATTAATTTAACATGAAAGAAAATTTTGAATAGAGGAATAGATAACAAAATCAGGTTAGTATTCCTTCATTATTAAAAAAAGCTTTCTGTGATGTAACGGGTAATCAGCAATCCAGGCAGTCCATGGTGTCTTCGAATTATTTCATGGGCATGGGAGGATTCGAATAATCGTGGAAACATTGACTCATTTGGTTATTTGTGTAGGAAAAAATATTTATTTCACACCACATTTAAACCTCTAGTAGAATATGAATCCTTCAAATTTCATCTACATCATCTCCGGAAACTCTAGAGTAACTCTTCACCAATAGGAGTTGTGCCTCTCATCTGGTCATAAATATTTTCGACCGAAAAAATGCCATATCATGGAAAGGATTCGAGTTCTCGTCAGAAACTTCATTTGATTTTTCTCAAAAAAATGTTTCATTTGAGTTGCTAGAATTCCGTAATCGTATATTACATAGGTAACTAGTGTGGAAAGTGACTTATTTCGTGAGTAACTAGTGCAGGAAATGCACTTTCCAATTAGTTTTGTCACTACATATCCTACGATCATAAAATATTAAATGTGAACCATATGGGTGTTCCTATGTAAATACGTTCCAAACTGTTCAATCATTTATTGTTTGTTACGTTTTCAAGAAGTTTTAATTTATCTAAACTGATATGGTAACTAGTCCTAAGAGTATGTTGGGCAATACTTGATTATATCTGAAGTGAGCTATATGTTCTTCAAATCTTGTGCCAATACTTCCACATTTTTGCCCAATATGTTTCATGTTTGAGTCATTATAATTTATGTCATATCAGATTCATCATCAGTATAAGTTTGTTCTTTAGGGTTGCCTAAAAGACAGTTTTTGCATTAGAAGCTATGTTCATCCCTTGCGTAAGGAAAATACGAAGATCCAGAATATGCCCGTATAGACTGTTGGATCTTATCGGATCAAACATTCGAGCTGCGAAATTCCGATAAAAAACATAAGCCTCAATTCGAAAGGAATCAGGATTCCACCAAAGACCTACTACTTTCTTCGGAAAAAAATCATCCGAAACTTCCTGGGGTGTTGCTTACTCGTTTTTCAAATAACAGATCACAGAAATATAAGAGATTATTTAGATAATAAGACACATGAGATTTGAAACAAAATGATTCACATATTTGTAGTTTTAAGTCATAACACTCTGCTTTCTGCTTAGATAAATCTCGAATTGATTGAAATTCTTGAACAATATATCATAGGAAACTCAATTTTTTACGAACTGATCATCAAAATCACTGAAGAATGGTGGTACTCAGCATCACAAACAAGTGCCACCTGCACAACTGCAACATTGGTATCATATTGGAATCACAATAAATTGGATAGATATACCAATTCTCGAAAGTCCTACTGACAGACAGAATGTCTCATATTGAGACTTTGAAAGTCCAACCCAAATAACAAGAATCTCAGGTAGATTTGAAGAAAATCTCAGCCAAACTCAGTAGAGATCCTGCAATAGGTGAAGGTACAACGTTCACAGGTGGTTGGTTATCACCAATAACCATGCAACAGGTTGCCGAAAAATAAATGAAGCTCCGGAAACAAGCCAATGGGATTATGCTGTTACAGAAGTTGGTCAACAGGGAAACACAGCTCACAGGTGAGATCCATCAACACTATCGAGGAAGTTGCAATGAAAAGCACTATTATTTTTGGGGCTAGTATTTAGATGGAACACAATGCACTGGTCAGTTTTATTGTTGTCAGCAGCTTGCATGAACTCTAATGTGCTTTTATTCGTTGTGTTGTGACTAAAAAAGTAGCGGAAGTAGAATTAATCATATTCCAGTTGGAAAGGGTAAGACATTTCGTGCTATTTGCTGGGAAAAGTTACTGTCATTCATTGAATGCTCTGTCTTTTGCAAGTGTCATTTATTTGAAAAACTGTTCAAGAAGTTGTTCTTTGTAGAGCTAACCTAACTATACGAAATGACTCACTCTTGAAAATATGGTCCGTTGGTTCGCAGAGGTTATAGTTGATCAAGGGATGTCATGAAGTAATAAGGTCATAAAGTGTTCATTAATTATAAAATGCCTTGTGATTTTGTAGCAATACGGATATTATCCACAACCTTCACAAACGGAACAAAGGGGCCCAATTGAGAATCTTCTTTCCGGACTTTTATCTGGGAGACAGCATCAACAAGTGAGTTTTCGGATAATGCAATGTTGTTTTTTCTATTTCAAAAAATAATTTCATTAGGCCGCCCTGGAATATAAGATTTGATTGTTTGTTTGTATGTATTGAATAGACCCCGAAACTACTGGATCGATTTTGCTGAAACTTGATGGGGAGATAGCTTAGAACCGGGAGAAGGATATAGGATACTTTGTATCCCGGTACCATGACGAAATTCAAGATGGCGGATCTAATATATCGGATCTAATATATCGGACAAGTTTTGTAATTATGATCCGATTCTATTCAAAATTGGTATCTGGGGGTTTTCGGGGTCGGAGATTATGATTCTTTCGTCAGAATTTGAAAATTCTGGCAGAATTAAGGATGGCGGAACCAATATGGCGGACGAGTTTTGTAATTATAATCCGATACTTTTCAAAATTGGTACCTAGGGGTTTTCGTGTTCGGGGATTATGATTCCTTCGTCAAAATTGAGAAATTCCAGATGGCGCCAAAATGGCGGATTTTGTAATTAGGATCCGATTTTATTCTAATTTGATATCTGGTGGTTCTCGGGGTCGAAGATTATGATTCATTCGTCAAAATTAGAAAATTCAAGATGGTGGACGATAATTGTAATTATGATCCGACTCTCTTCAAAATTGTTATTTGGGTGTTTTCGGGGTCGGAGATTATGATTCTTTTGTCAAAATTTGGAAAGGGCGGGATTTGGAAATTCAAGACGGTGGAATAACCAATATATACCGGACGAGTTTTGTATTTATATAGGTACCGATTCTATTCAAAATTTGTAAGAGGGCGTTTTCAGGATCCAAAATTATGATTCCTTCGTCAAAATTAGGGAATTCAAGATGGTAGATCCTATATTGCCGACGAGTTTAGTAATTATGTTCCGATTCTATTCAAAGTTTTTATTTAGGGTTTTAGGAGTCGGATATTATGATTCTTTCGTAAAAAAATTGGGAAATTCAAATGAACTAAAAAGAAGTTGAAATGAATGGTAGTTTGAAAAACTAAAGAAACACGCTTTTATAGATAGCGAAACTAAAAGGAAGTAGAAAATAAAAGAATATTAGTGTCTTGATGAATATGGAACTGAAAAAATATATTATAGAAATAACAACGTTTGCGAGGTCTGCTAGTTAGTTATAAAAGAACTAAGAGTATTTCCGAATTTTATCTCAATGTTTTCCAGTCCTGCTTGTCAGTACATAATGGGATTTTTCATGTTTTATTATCTAGCAACAGCAACCTCAGTTTGGAGGCGGTCCTTCCGTAGGAGGCTTGGGAAGTATGAGTGGCTTTTTGGAGAACTTCGCTGGACAGCTATTTCATTCAAAATAAAAGTTTTTCCATTTTTCCATGTGGAAATCAGTGAGAAATTGAGTAGCTAGCTTAGAGAATATTCAAGTGCTATCAAAACTGTTATTTTTGCACTTATCTTCAGGTTTTAGCATTTATATTATATAATTTATTTATTAATTTAAGATTATCAACTTCCATCCATGAAACTAGTCTAGATACTACAGATCCTTTTTACGTTTATGATGGTATGTCATCCAACCAAAATCCACTAAATTCGAATCTTTTTTTTATGAGTCAGTAGAAGTTCCAAAGCCCATATTGTTTTGGAAACTTCATATTCACATTTCACAAAATTCAAATCGCGTTCTTTTCTTTAGGATAAAGCAGAACAAATCACAACAATATGTACCTGGAAATAAAGGATACCTATTTTATTATTCATAGTGAAAATCTTTTTATCCCAAAATTTAAATCACTTTTCGAACATAAATCTTACTACACAAAAAGATCCATTCACATTTTTTTATACTCTTTTGTTTGCATTTTTATCCTTTCAAATTTATGTACTGTTTTGTTATTTTATTCGTTTCATTTTATATGTAATATTTATTATAATTTTCATTATCTAAGTATATAAATCTTACCATTTATGAGTGTCAATTCCTCTCAATAAGTTTTCTGCTTTGGATCTTGAAGTATATTTTTACTCTCTCTTTATGAAAATAATCTAAGATTCGAGAGTTTGTTGTTTCATGAAAAGTATATCAAACCTCGATATTAAAAATGTGGTGCTAATGTGTTGCGTATTTGTTAAACATATGTTCATTTTATTTGTAGTTGCTCTCTAATGCTTCCAATAATACCGGGTGTGTAACAGGATCATGGTACACCAAACCATTTTGATAAATCAAGAAATTTGACATTTTTGACAATATTCGATTTCATTGGATTCAGAAAATAATGCAGAATTCGAAAATGCAGTGATATACAAGGTGTTCCATTTGAAAATCAAAAGGTATTATCACTTCCGGTGAAACCGGAAGGGGAAAATGAAATATATTTATGTAAAAATATGACGTTCATCAAGTTGATTGCTAATGCCAAATTTCAATCACTTATCTCCTAAACTAAAAGAGAAAAAAAGAAAAAGGGGGTGTACCATGATCCTGATATTACACCCAGTATACTCAAGTACTAACAAAATGTGTTTTTAGATATAAAAAATTATTGTATGTTGAATTTTTGAATACATAGTTTATATAATTGATGTTTTTAGAAAATTATATTTTATAATGATTTGCGATTTTACCAAATATTAAATGAATAAAATCAATCATCCAGGAATCTCATGTTCAGTTACTTGACCCTCTTTGACCAAAATAAGAAAATACCAAAATGAATTTCTCATGTATATTTTCAATTAGGAGAAATACATAAAATTATAAATAAAAAAAAGTTCAATTGCAACAAGACTATATAAAAACCGAGATGGACAAACATATTGGATGTGTCAAAAACAAGGCATCAGAAAAATGGCGCTGGACACTAACCAACGATCAATTTAAAATAAAGTACATTTCCTTCATATTTCTCCATACCAAGCATCAAATTTTGTTTATATTTCATTCCAAATACCTCGATTGGTATCATCAATAATATTATCTGGTCTATTTTCTGTTCGCGAGACCGAGTAAAAACATCGCGAATATAACAAAACTGAATCGACCCCCAGCTCCCAGCTCAAAACCATCCCTTGTTTCCGCACACCCATATCCATTTAAAACCTAATTCTCGTCGGAATCGGCTCCGATTTTCCTTCTCACGCTTTTCCTAGTTTTCGTGGACCATCTACCCCTGTTTTTCTTGTCGGAGTCATCCGCAGTTCTACTGCCGCTGACTTGGTGGTGGCTCCTCAAGTCTTTAGTGGAACACGAACTGGAACTGGAACTGCCAGACATAGAAATAATGATTATATAAATAATAGTTATTTATTATACAAGGGAAAAAAAGTAGTAGATTTTAGCTCCAGGTTGTGTTGTCTCCCAACGCGTAGCGGAAGGAGACAAAAAACCGTGAGCTAAAATCTAATATTTTCCCCGTGTATAATACACTATTTTTTTCTGTGACAGAAGAAAGGACGAATCAATATTGAGAAGATATTACATTATTTTGGAATCTGAAAATTATCGACGTGAAATTTTAAGTTTTTAACAGTAGAGACACCTGCGTTGTAGGCATCTTCATCATTCTTTTGAAGTAATCAAATATCTGATGTCACTTCTGTCAGTCTAATTCTGTGATATGATGTCAAAAAATTGCGAATTTTGTGGTTTAGTAATATATGTAACCGCGAAGTCGAATGGAAGATAAAAGAAATTGCAGTTCTTTCTCGGAGACGGTATTATTGACTCATTTTTCGGGACTATAGCACAACAAAAGCCATCAACAGTGTATATATATCCCGGAAAAAAGTACTCACTTTTTTCCCACAGGAAAAAAGTAATTTATGAAAAGTGACATTTTATAACCTGCCAACAGAGATGAAATGCCCAACTTTTTTCCCGTCACAGAAAAAATGTATTTTTTTCTGTGACGTTTTCGAGATCCGATTTCTCGTTTATCAGAAGGAATTGCGAAAATCTGATATCATGGGAATATCCGTTAGCCTATATTTCATTGATATGCTAAATATATGTACTCATTTCAAAAACACCTCGTATAGATGAGAAAATGAAAGAAAATATCTTTAAATCTCTTTTCATTCCACTCCGTATACCTACTATCGATATCGGAATTAGTCATACTTGTTCGGGGATTAATCGGTTGAAAGGATGACGTAACTACTTAGTCATTTGAATGATGAATCAAATCAATCAGCAGTTTCGTTCTAGACTTCATCGAGTACGGTCGATAAGTGATAATAAAAAAGAACTCGTATTTAAGTCAGTATTTAAGAGTGGAAGATTAGAATGCATATTCGGCTTAGTGATTGTGTTTTCATTTGAGTGTGTGAAAATGTGAAAGTGAAAGTAAGATGGTAAGTGTTTTTGTATAATATACAGGGACAGGGTGTTTCGAAATTCGACCGACAACGCTTGACAGGTGATGACCCTTGTGATTTCATAATTACTGAGATGGGGACATACTTCTTCAAGTGTTCAGTTCTCGAGATACAGGGTGTCGAAGTTGAGAAATAAAAATAGTTTTTTCGCAATAACTCAAGAATGATTGAAAATTTTGCATTCCAATTCGGTATATGGTTTCATCTTCAAATGGGTAATTTTTCACCAGAAATTCATTTCGAACATTCAATTCAGTGGTGCGCTACAGGGGGTTGTGGTAGCTTTTCCTCTGTTAATTTTACGCCTCTGATGATATTTTGATTATTTTCGATTGCGCGAGTTCATTGTTCAATTCTGTTCAAAAATGCACCCTTCAACTGAGTTAAAATGAACAGTTCTCGAAATATTTGTCCCAAAATAGAAGTTTGCATAGTAATTATTCATTTTCAGTAATAAAAAATTACAAAATTTTTTTTTTCTGCATGAAATGAATATTTCTGTTCAGCTGCAGAATGATATCTGAAAAGTACCTTATCTACTTACCACCAAAAATTTTTTATTGTAGTTTTCTACTGAAAATGATGAAAAATTACTATGCAATCTCCTATTTGGATGAGTTATGAATTTTGAACCACCCTGTATCTGTTCCGATTAAATATCAATAAACAGTGAATCAAAAGTTGAGATAGGGGCATGTGAGCTGTTTTGACCTAACACCCTATATCTCTGTTATCATTTACGATGGACCCCATGTGTAATACACGGATATAATCAGCTTTTCAGGAAGAATCTAAAAATGCTATAAAATACAGGGTGTTCCATTTGAAATATCAATGTTGCTACGACTTTCTAGTGAAAGGGACAACAATGCATTGTCGAAAGTATTTTAAATGAAGGGAGTGTATTCTAAAATATAAACATGCACATTTTCATGGATTTCTCGATATAAAGATAGTGAAAGCTCGTCGTGACATACCCTGTATATCTGACGGTTTGGTTGATATCGAAAGAGAACATACTGAAAATGACACGGTTTTTTCTTAGTTGTAAATATATTTGATTTAGTTTTACCCAATGTTAAAATATTTTCCATATCAAAAATATTCGGTGATTGTTATGACGACAGCTCGTTTTCTAGTGATTCCGCGAATGACATCTTCACCAAAACTGCAAGCCGAAGGCTAGGAAAATTTCGCATACAGGGTGATCGTTGTTTGAGTAATGACGACCGCGACAATTTTTTCGAATCAAACATCCTATACAGTGTCATTCATAAAGTCGGCATCATATGGGAGAAACTTTTATTAATGACTTATTTTGAAATTCGAAGTTTTTTTTTCAAATTAATCGCTGAAAGTAGGTTTATTTGTTGGAATATCGAAAAAGTTTACTTGAAAAAGTAGTTTGTATTTTAATTTTACATATGTGACTCGGATTTTATTTTTCTATTACATTTTTTATACTTCGATATTTTTTAAAAATTTTCGAAATTTCTGTAATATTAAAAAAATTGTAAATTCGATAAAACTACTTCATACCAGTAGCTTCATCATGTAACTATCTTTCAATTACTAATTATCACTAATTATCGACAAAAATATGATTTTCTTCAGAAAATGATAACCTCCTCTTCAAAATTATGTTATGTTTGATGCAAACATAACATCAGAATTCTGCTATGTTTGAGTCAAGCATTTAGAAACGAAATTCATTTGAATTTATTTTTTCAGTACTGAAAAGATCAGTTTAAAAATGAATTTCATTCCTAAATGCTTGACGATATATCAACTTTGCATCAAACATAACAGAATTTGAAAGCAAGTATAATCATTTTTTGAAGAAAATCATATTTCTGTCCATAATCAGTGATGATAAGTAATTGAAAGTGAGTAGCATGAAAAAGCTACTGGTATGAAGTAGTTTCGTGGAATTAAAAATTCTTCAAATATTACAGAAATTTCGAAAAATAAAAAAAAAACAAAATCTAAAAGTCGCAATAGAGAGATCAAATTGGGGAAGCATGTGTAAAATGGAAATAGAAACAACTTTTTCAAGTAAACTTTTTCGATATTCGAACAAATTCGCCAACTTTCAGCGATTAATTTGAAAAAATGTCACTTTTGACATGTAGCGAAAGTCACGTGACCCCGATTGAGTAGGCAATTTTGCATCTTTTTTGAAGCAAAACTCAACGTCCAACTCGAATTTCAAAATAAGTCATTGATAAAAGTTTTTCTCATATGATGCCGACTTAATGAATGACACTGTATACCAGTATAGCGAAGTAAAGTATACTATTTGGAATCAAACGCTGGAAGCAAAATGTCAATTTTGTCACCTCTGTCAAAAATGCCTTCATTAAACGGAAAAAAATTCGTCCCATCCTGTATAAAATATAATTACTGAACACCCGTTTACATATCGAAATGGGCAGTAGTATGAGTTTATTCAGTTGCCCGAATATCATTGATACCATGGCAACCGTTTAACATTATACATGGATTAATTTTTTCAAATTCAAACTTGCAAGGTCAATATAACTCTGTAATGAAGTGCGATATACATTTATTTTACATAAAGTACTGGCATTATTTTGGCTAACTCTATCAGCCCTATCATTTACGACATGACCTTTCCGGACACCCTGTATAGAATCATTCGTGTCGTGAGAAACTACTTCAACGCGGTATGTTTTTAATGGCAACCCTATTTTACGAGAGTAGTGAATATGGAGGTTCATGAGATATTTTCGAAAAACTTCTGGAATTTCTTGTCACCCCCTGTAAAACTATTTTTCATATTATCTTCTGTCATAGATAAAATTTTATTCGGGAATTAATCGGTTAGAAGGATGACGTAACTAATTAGTCATCAGGCTGATGAATCAAGCCATCCATTCATCAGTCGCATATTAGATTTCATGTGTACGGTCGATTCCCTTGGTGGAGACACGTCTGATAGCATTTAAAAAAATTAAGAATAATTCCATATTGGTTCTAATGTCAATTCGAAATTTCGTATCGACACTATGTAGTGACCATCATACTGATACTCAAAATGTAAGCAAAATGAATTTCTGCAATTTATTTTCAATATAACGATTTTCAGTTCACATTTCGCACATATGAACACTAATTTCAATGATATTTATATTGACACTAGTGTCGTTATGAAAAAACTATTATTTTGCTGAATTACAGCTCATTAGGGCCATTATTCATGAATACAGTGTGATTCAATTTGATCTGTCCTACTCATGAATTCTCTTATACAGTGTCATTCATAAAGTCGGCATCATATGGGAAAAACTTTTATTATTGACTTATTTTGGAATTCGAGTTTAACGGTAAGTTTTGCTTCGAAAAATATGAAAAATGGCCTACTCAATCGGGGTCACGTGACTTTCGCTACATGTCAAAAGTGACATTTTTTCAAATTAATCGCTGAAAGTAAGCTTATTTGTTCAAATATCGAAAAAGTTTACTTGAAAAAGTTGTTTCTATTTCAATTTTACACATGCTTTCCGAATTTGATCCTGTTATTGCAACTTTAAGATTTTGATTTTTTTTTTAATTTTTCGAAATTTCTGTAATATTTGAAGAATTTTTAATTTCACGAAACTACTTCATACCATTAGCTTTTTCATGCTACTCACTTTCAATTACTTATTATCACTGATTATGGACAGAAATATGATTTTCTTCAGAAAATGATAATACCCGCTTCCAAATTCTGTTATGTTTGATGCAAAGTTGATATATCGTCAAGCATTTAGAAACGAAATTCAATCAAACTGATTTTTTCAGTACTGAAAAAATAAATTTGAATGAATTTCGATTCTAAATGCTTGACTCAAACTGTTATGTTTGCATCAAACATAACAGA